GGGAAGGGGTCGGTGGCGCGTTTTGGGAGGCTGTCTGAGTTGAGTGCCTGTGGAAATTCTCGTCGCCACGGCTGGGTGCCGTTCGGAAAACTGGCAGGTGGGCCGTGTTGAGCATATGTTGGCTTTGGGCAGCGCGAGGGGAGCAGCATCATTCTCGGGATGCCGAGGGCTTGGAGGGGATCGGCCCCTTCTCGGCTGGAGGCTTCTGCGGAGGCCTCCTAGAGGGCAGGAGGACCTGGGTGCCGTGTCAGAGGGCCGCCCCCCTCACCCTGCCCCCGCGCGCACCGCCCAAGAAGGGCTGGAAGAAGGAAGGCTGGACGACCACTGCAGCGAGGTGGCCGATGGGAACCTAGCTCTACATGCCCGCCCGTAGCTCCACCACTAGGGGAACAAAAAGTGGCATAAACATAAAAACTCGGAGGTCCGCGCGGATTTCTCGGATCGGCGCTGGGGCCCCCTGGCGCGCTCCGCGCGCCAGGGAGGGGGGTCCAGCGCCGATCCGAGAAAAATCCGCGCGGACCTCAGAGTTTTTATATTTATGTCACTTTTTGTTCCCCTAAGTACACCTCTCTGAGGATGACTACTTCATCACCTGCTGCTGTGGCACTGGGCGGTGAACACCGCCCATGGCGACAGAGCTCATGTTCAGCCTGGAGGCCGAGCCAGAGGTCCACTCTGCAAGCCTGGTTCGGATGGCCTCCATGCCCTGCTGGGCGATCTGCGTCACCAGCGAGTTGTCTGGCGCGAGGCCCAGGTTGTTCTCCAGGGAGCTGACCACCCTGACGTCCGGATTGTCGGCAATCCTCTCCACAACGCCGAGGCGGAGCATCTCCTGCTCCTGCGCCCTCCGCGCCTGGAAAGCCGAAGAGGCAGTGCCCTCCGCCTTTGCGAGCTCCTTCTTTCCCTGCGCCGTCTTCTCCGACGCGTTCATCTTCCCTGTTGCGCGCTTTGAAGACTCGTACGCCTCCGCCTGTGCCTCGATCTTCCCCTCCTCCAGCATGAGCTTCGCGGCATTTTCGCGCCTCATCGCCGTGATTTCGGCGCTGATGCCTGCTATCTGGCGACCCCTCGGGGCCAGCAGGCGTGTGGGATGCTCAGCTTTGCCCCCCCCGCCCGAGCCATGCCATTTTAAGGGGACGGGTCCAGAAGGAAACGGGCCCTGGACCACGGGGCCCTCCCTGGGGCCAACTCTTCTTCCCGAGCCGTTTCCTGACGGCCCCAGGGCCCGTGGAGGGCCCCCAAAGACTGCACGCGGCGAGAAGCCTCGGCACCCGCTTCCCTCGGGACCCACTGGCTTCCTGGCGGACGAGGTTACCTTCTGGCGACCTACTAGACCACCCCAACCCGAAGACCCGAACTTCGGGCTTGGGGGGTATGGGCATCTGTTTTTTCCAGTCTGCGCCCCGACCCCTCGCAGTGGAAGTGGAGGGCAGATTGGGCGATGGTGGAATAGTTGTGCAAATTGACCGGCTGACCGGTTGACCGGCTGACCGGCTGACCGGTTGACCGGTTGACCGGCTGACCGGCTGACCGGCTAACTGGCTGACCGGCTGACCGGTTGACCGGCTGACCGGTCGACCGGCTGACCGGCTGATTGGCTGACCGGCTGACCGGTTGACCGGTTGACCGGCTGACCGGTTGACCGGCTGACCAGGCGACCGGCTGACTGGTCGACCGCTGACCACATGACCAGCTGCAGCTGACCTGCGGACCGGTTGACCGGCTGACCGGTCGACCGGTCGCGGCTGACCGGCTGACCGGTTGACCGGTTGACCGGCTGACTGGCTGACCGGCTGACCGGCTGGCCGCGTGAAGAAGCTGATGAAGGCGCTGACCAGCTGACCGGTTGACTGGCTGACCGGCTGACCGGCTGACCGGTTGACTGGCTGACCTGCTGACCGGCTGAATGACCGGTTGACCGGCTGACCGGCTGACCGGCTGACCGGCTCACCGGCTGACCGGCTGACCGCGACCGGTGGACCGGCTGACCGGCTGACCGGCTGACCGGCTGACCGGCTGACCGGCTGACCGGCTGACCGGCTGACCGGTTGACCGGTTGACCGGTCGACCGGCTGACCGGCTGATTGGCTGACCGGCTGACCGGTTGACCGGTTGACTGGCTGACCGGTTGACCGGCTGACCGGGCGACTGGCTGACCGGTCGACCGCTGACCACATGACCAGCTGACAAGCTGACCTGCGGACCGGTTGACCGGCTGACCGGTCGACCGGTCGCGGCTGACCGGCTGACCGGTTGACCGGTTGACCGGCTGACCGGTTGACCGGCTGACCGGCTGGCCGCGTGAAGAAGCTGATGAAGGCGCTGACCAGCTGACCGGTTGACCGGCTGACCAGCTGACCGGCTGACCGGCTGACCAGCTGACCTGCTGACGGGCTGACCAGGTTGACCGGTTGACCGGTTGACCGGTTGACCGGCTGACCGGCTGACCGGCTGACCGGCTGACGGGCTGACCGGCTGACCGGCTGACCGGTGGACCGGCTGACCAGCTGACCGGCTGACCGGCTGACCGGCTGACCGGCTAACTGGCTGACCGGCTGACCAGTTGACCGGCTGACCGGTCGACCGGCTGACCGGCTGATTGGCTGACAGGCTGAGCGGTTGACCGGCTGACCTGTTGACCGGCTGACCGGGCGACCGGCTGACCGGTCGACCGCTGACCACATGACCCGCTGACCTGCGGACCGGTGACCGAGCTGACTGTCGACGGGCGGCTGACAGGCTGCCGGTTGATCCCGGTTGACCGGCTGACCCAGTGGCTTGACCGGCTGACCGGCTGGCCGCGTGAAGAAGCTGATGAAGGCGCTGACCAGCTGACCGGTTGACCGGCTGACCGGCTGACCGGCTGACCGGTTGACTGGCTGACCTGCTGACCGGCTGACCAGGTTGACCGGTTGATCGGTTGACCGGTTGACCAGCTGACCGGCTGACCGGCTGACCGGCTGACCGGCTGACCGGCTGACCGGCTGACCAGTGGACCGGCTGACCGGCTGACCGGCTGACCGGTTGACCGGCTGACCGGTTGACCGGCTGACCGGGTGACCGGCTGACCGGTCGACTCGCTGACCACATGACCAACTGACAAGCTGACCTGCGGACCGGTTGACCGGCTGACCGTATGACCGGCTGACCGGGTGACCGGGTGACCAGCTGACAGGTGGACTGGGTGACCGGGTGACCGGGTGTCCGGGTGACCGCGGGTGACCGGGTGACCGGCTGACCGGTTGACCGGCTGACCGGTTGACCGGGTGACCGGGTGACCGGGCCTTCAGAGGCACGCGGGGAGACGCGACGGTGCCACCAGAGGGCTCAAAGACGCCGAAAGATCGCTCTCAAGATGGCCCCCGGACGGCCGAAGATGCCTCCAAGACGCCCCAAGAGGCCTCCAAGAGGCCTCCCAAGAGGGCCCGAAGAGGCAAACATGTTTGCTTTTCTATAATTTGTGTCAAAATCCTTAAGGTTTTCTCGTTTTCGGCTTCCCGACGCTCCAAGACGGCCCAAGAGGCCCCAAGATCGCCCCAAGACGGCCCAGGAGGCCCCCAAGACGGGCCCAAGACGGCCCAAGAGGGCCCCAAGACGGCCCCAGAGGCCTCCAAGACGGCCCAGGAAGCCCCCAAGACGGCTCCAAGAGGGGGCCCAGACGGGGGACCCGAACGGAAATTTCGAGCCCTCGGCCTCCAGAAGCCTCCAGGATACCCCGAGAGGCCTCCGAAAGGCTCCAAGAAGCCCCAAGAGTCCCCTCGCGAGACAGGCCCCAAGAGGCCCCAAAACGGTCCCCAAGAGGCCTCAAAAATGCTTCCAAGAGGCCTCCGAGAAGCCTACCACGAGATCACAAACGAACACTCAACAGACCTTTAACCCAGAACCCAGGCACGGTGGCGGGATGGGCCGAAGGCCATTCGATCCGCCGTCCCCTGTTGATTCATCACAGGTGGGTTCCTTTTCCCCCCCTGAAAAAACTCCCCCTGGCTTTGGCCCAGCCCGCCGGCCACCCGGAAGGGCCCACACGAGGTGGTCGCAAAGGTTTTTCCTGCTCCCGACGGCTCCAAGATTGCCTAAGATGGCTTCCAAGAGGGCCAAGATGGCCTTCAAGTTCGCCGAAAATGGTCCAAGATGCCTTCCCAGACGGCCCAAGAGGGTCCAAGATACCTCCAAGTTCGCCCAAGAAGCCTCCAAGACGGTCCAAGACGGCCCAAGGGGCCCCCAAAAGGCCTCCAAGACGGCCCAAGAGGCCTCCAAGAGGCCCTCCAGGAGAGCCCGAGGAGATCAAAATCAGTGATTTCCCGATTGTTTTTCAAATCTTTTGACATTTGCTTCTTTTTGGCATTCCGACGGCTCAAGACGGCTCAAGAGGCCCCCAAGATCGCCCTAAGATCGCCCACGAGGCCTCCAGGGTGGCCCTATGACGGCCCAAGAGGCCCCCAAGACGGCCCCAAGAGGGCCCCAACAGACCTCCAAGACGGCCAAGATGGCCTCCAAGACGGCTAAGATGGCCCAAAGATGCCTCCAAGACGGCCCAAGATGCACCCAAAACGGCCCGGGATGGCTTCAAGATGGCCCAAGACGGCCCAAGAGGCCCCCAAGAGGCCTCCAAGACGGCCCAAGAGGCCTCCAAGAGGTCCTCCAGGAGGGCCCGAAGATACCGAAATCAATGATGTTCCTAAGGTTTTTGGTATATGTTGGCATTTGTTTTTTTGTTCGGCATTCCGACGGCTCAAAACGACCCAAGAGGCCCCAAGATCGCCCCAAGATCGACCACGAGGCCTCCAAGATGGCCCCATGACAGCCCAAGAGGCCCCCAAGACGGCCCCAAGACGGCCCAAGAGGCCTCCAAGACGGCCAAGATGGTCTCCAAGACGGCCCTGAAGCGTTGCAACATGGGCCCCAAGTCGGTTCAGAGAGGCCCCCAAGACGGCCTCCGACGGCGTCAGACGGATCAGGAAAGCCCTAAGACGGCCAAAGAGGCCCCCAAGAAGCCCCCAAAGGCCCCCAAGAGGCCCCCAAGAGGCCCCCAAGGGAAGCTCCGCAGAGGTCTCCCAAGAGGCCCCCCAAGACGTTCCCAAGAAGTCTCCTCCTCCTCGTCGTCCTCCTCCTCGTCGTCGTCCTCCTCCTCCTCCTCCTCCTCCTCCTCCTCCTCTTCCGGCTTCTCCAGCCTCGTCCTTCTCTTCCAGCCTCCTCCTCTCCTCCTCCTCCTCCTCCACCATCATCCTTATCATCATCCTTATCCTCCTCGTAATAATCATCCTCCCTCTCCTGGTCCTCCTCCTCTTCCTGCTCCCCCAAGCGCTCCCCGAAGTCTTTCCAAACCGATTTGGGAAAAAAAACTGGCCGGATAGCTTGGCCAAGCTCTGGCCCAGCTGTCGGCCACACAGGCGCTTCCAAACGGGCAAGGAGCGGCGGTGATTCGCCGTAGGAGTCTTCGATACAGATGCCCGTACTTCCCGTCCTGACCAGAATCTCGAAGCGAAGCCAGCCGTGGCGGCGAGAACTCTCCAGGACGAGCAGCGGTATCGGCATCTCAGCCAGATCCTCCTCCCCTCCTCGCCCCTGGACGGTTCGGAGCGTCCGCGTTCCCACCCGAAGCGCGCCATGCCCACGAGAGGCGACGAGCCAGACGCCCCTCGGGGCCCCAGCGCGCCGAGCCCCCATCGGCGAGGACTGCCTGAAGCCCGCCGCGCACCCTCGCGCCAAAGGCGAGCCCAGCGCGACGTCGACCGCGTCGTCCTCTTCCTCCTCCTCATCCTTCTCGTCGTCCTCGTCCCCCTCCTCCCCCCCTCCTCCTCCTCCTCCTCCTCCTCCTCCTCCTCTTCCTCCTCCTCCTCCGTCATGAGTAAGGGTAAGAGAAAGACGAATAAAGATGACGGCGGCCAAGAAAACCATCGGAGTATTTCGTGGTTGTCATCGCCACGGAAGCACGCGCCTCAAGCCACGAATCTCCGCCTAGGCGCCTAGGACAGTTATGGTCGCATGGATGCACCAGCCGACGCGCAAGGACCCTTGCGGGAGTCACTGGATACCAATATGCGTAGATGTATAAGG